GTCGGTGCAGGGGGGAAGGCAGGCTGTCGGTACAGGGGTGCGGGGGGGAAGGCAGGCTGTCAGTGCACGGGTGTGGGGCGGACACTCTGAGAGACAAACATTAACCTCAAGTCACCAATCGAGTGAGCCTGTGCAGGAAAGCTTGAACCCGAGCAGGGTAAAACAGATCTAGATTATACTATGACTACTAGCGAGAGGTGTTCTGCAGACATTTCATACTTCATAGCAAGGACTAGGGCTTGGGATGAAGAGATCAAGAAAATTAAAGTGTTGCCACTAGGGAAACAAGATTGAGAAAGAGCAACTATGACCTCTAGTTTTTACTCTAGAAAAATCTGGTCACTCTCATTGGAGAAGCACCTAGCACAGGGACAGCCAGGCAGCTTAGGAACCTCTGTGGGCTATGATTATGATTATTTAAAGATTGATTTATTTATGCACACAAGAACTGAGGTACAGGCCAGAGGTGTGGGGGTGATGACAGAGGCTTCACCAGAGACAGTGGGGAGCAGAACAGGCCTACCGATGAAGTACACTGCTGAGGGGAGCAGCAGGTGGGCCAGGAGAGGTCTGCCAGGCCATGTGGGTCACCTCCCTGGCCAGGGATCAAATTCAGTGCTACAGTGGCTGCAGATAGCTTCACAGTGCTGTGTTTTAACCCACTGTGGCACCAGGGAGGACCCTGTGGGTTATTATTGAAGACAATAAAATCTCATGTCATCTATTCTAGATATCAACTATAGACTACTTCAGATCCCACACTTCACTTGAATTAAGTCTCATGAAAGGTTTTTGTTTAAGTAGTAGGGTTGGGGAAGAATGTCAGCTACTTGACAAAATAATGAAATGTGAAAAATTCATTTCTGTGTGTCCCTACTTGTGAAATTGAAAGGTCTTTTGCTATTATTTGAGAAATATTATCTTAAAGTATATCTTAAACCCTACATGAGTGGTTCCACGCTGAAAGCACACGCCTCCTTCATTCAATCTTAGTAAGTGTGTGAAAAGACAGACACCGAGGTCCAGCTATTTACCTCACCATAGCCACACACCACCACTTGTTTCCCACCAAACATCACATCTGTGGTCCTCTTCAAGCTGTGGAAACAGATAATGGTTCACCTCAAACAAAAATGGTTCAGCTCAAAGTCCCTCTGCACAGACTAGAAGTGTGGGGCTCTACTCCACGTCAGCCAAAGGTGGCTGGGCTCGGTATGGGCTCCCTTAGCAAACCTGTACAGCCACAGCAGACCAGAAGACAGGACTGAAGTGATATCCAACCCAGTCCAAATTTAACTCCCTGTAAGTCTGAGTATTTCAACCTACCCATCCAAGATGGATTCTCGACAGCAGTACAAGTTATCAAACTTCTGTTTGGTAACAGAATCATTGACATTCATGGCTGGAACACAGAGCTTCCCAGCTTTGGAGAGCTGATACAGCCTAAAAGGAGAAGCCACAAAAACAAACAAAACCAAAGTTACCTGGCAGAACATCATAGATGGGAAAATCAGCCTAATTCCCCTCAAGTTCCGAGCTGCCCTCCCCAGTCTCAATTTCCCCAAAGCTGCTAGTAGCAAGACTTTCCTTGTCCTCCCTCCTCACTTCTTTTTATTTTCTTTTCCCTCCAGGTACCCTTCCTCGGCTTTTTTTTGGGAAGAAAAAAACCCGAAAAACAAACTCTTAACTCTCTTAACTGAAGAAATTTTTCTTCTCTTCCATAAAGGGGATTTATTTCCCTACACCAGCATTTTCTTTAGCTTTTAAAAAACTTGTTCCTAATTCTGAAAACAAGATGATCAATGACTCTGATGCGGTTCCCTGCATCTGTGTTTCTGTACATGCACCATGTGATCCAAGTGAGAAACACTCTTTCAGGTATTTCATCAAGACAGAAATATTTTAACCCAGTTTTCTTTCTGTAGTGTGTATACTGTACAATAGGATTTTTTCATATTTTAAATATAAAACTGTAATACAATGCTGATTCTAGTTTTTAAAGATAGACTCACTCCCTACCTCCCAACACTGGTTGAGAGTCACTCAGTAGAATAAATGGGAAAGAGAAAGAATGTGTAACTAGAACCTGAAATGACTTCTTTAGGGTCTCCTTGATGGTTCAAAAATGAAAACTTGAAAGTTTTTCTAATGAAGACACTCCCATTTGTTTGCTATAAGCCTGCAGCTGAACCCTGACCCTAACAGAGACCAGAATTCGCTGAGCAAGGGCGCAGGGGCAGCTGCTCCAGAGTCTGTTACCTGTGAACACCAGTCACGCTCTCTTCCACAATGCCTCGGATCTTCTTAAACACGTTTGGGTACTTCTTATAAACCCAGTGGGTTAAGTCTCCCCCATCATCCAGGATCTACAGAACAGCCAGAAGACTTCTATGGGCATTCAGGCTGCTAGAGCTGGGGGGAACTTTGAACCCACTTTCTGTACTACTAAGAGAGCCCTGAATATTTTTGAAGAGCTCGTTAGAGCTCAAGACAGTGGAAACACAGTCAAATGTGTTGGTGTTAAATGGTTAAGAGGATCCCTAAGTTTGTTCTAGGCTACAGTGAAGAGTATTAGGCTAATCACACTCATGTTTAGTCCAGCGTCTTGCAGTATGTAGCTCCTTTGAATGCAAAAGGAGAGCTGGGGCAAAGAGACAGCAGGCTCCTACTCCAGAGAGGAGCCACCTCATTTCCTTCCATCCCGTTCTGCTGTTTCAGACACATGTTCAGTTAGCTGTGCCCATCCCCCACCTTTCCATTCTGCACTCAGAACCATTCTGAGTACATAGCAAGTTAAACACTTCGGTAAAACATCAGTGCATAAGACCACGCATCCAAAACACATTTAGGGAACCATGCTTTGAAGAAGAAAAGAAAACAAATCTTTTGTCAAAAGTGTAGGTAGGATAAATACGCATCATTACCATGTTGGCTTGCCACCCATCCATGTTCACACAACGGTCAATACACCACCAGAAGTCATCTTCTGACTCGCCTTTCCAAGCAAACACTGCAACTCCTGTAGAAATGGAAACAAATCAACAGATTCCTGCGTTGGGGAGTGTGTTATACAACACTACCACCTTCTGAGATCCATGTGAACAAAAATGTCTTCTGAAACTATTCAAGAAAGGTTAAAAGTTAAAAAGTTATTGCAGAAATTGTTAAGACTTTATAGGGTCTTTAAAATTATTCTGGACCTTTAAAATGCTACTCTTTTGGGCCAATTTTATATTTGGGGCCCAATCCTAAGAGAGACTGAATGAAATGGGAATTTAAACAAAGTTGTTCACTGGAACATTATTTGTATTAGCAAGCATCTTGAGACAAACTAAAGGTTCAGTGTCAGAAAAATAGTGAAGTAAAACTACACAGTAGATTGAGCATTACACGGGATGCGGTCAAAGTTTTCAGTGACATGAAAACTAATGGAAATATTATATATTTAGGTTACAAATTGCATACATACTGAAATCTAGTTCATCTCTATAAAGAATGAATAGAAAAGAGGAAAAATAAGTCAAATATTATTTCTGTGTAGCCATATCAGAGTTTTTTCTGGAGGCTCCTAAATTTCTGCAGAAAAAATAAGAAAAACAAGGGTTAAAAAGTGCTTTAAAGACCCTACGAAGATGAAAGAGCCATAAAAAACTTCAGTGATATTTTTCTGAATACTTTAACAATAAAAATTATTTAATGTTTAACTGAACTCATGAGTAATCATTATTTTCACTATTTCAATACTGAATAAGAAATTAAGGAATTATCAAAATAGAAGGCAGTTCTTGCTTGTGTTTGCCCCCAATTGACAAGATTTGTTGAAAGGAGAATAACTGAGCTCAGACTTACACAATTCATACAGTTTAATATTCTTTCTTGTTCACTTAACATTAGAATTGGGCTTTCCCCCATTTTATTAGTTTCTTTTCAAAGATAATTTTTAATAGCTATGTAATATTCCCTATGGACATGAATCTTAATTTTATTATCCATTTCTCCCTATACTGATATATTTTTACTATGCTCCAAGTTTTACAGGCCCTGATCATCTATGACACTGTCATGACAATTTTGAAACACAAAAACTATATTTAAGGTAACCACACTGAGGCAAAGTTAAAGAACTTTGGTGAAAAAGCTAAACCTACCAGCCTCAGCCAGAGCTGCAGCCACTTCATTTTGGGTGGAGTAGATGTTGCAAGCCGACCAGCGGCACTGAGCCCCCAGGGCACACAGAGTCTCAATCAATACCTGTGTGGATGTACAGGGACAGGGTGAGAAAGTGGAGGGTCAAACAGGAATGGCAAGTAAGGTAACGACATACCCCGGTGCTACACTGGAAGGTTACAAGTCTAGGTAGGCAGCAGGCCAGCGTCCTAAAGATGTGTTACCAAAAGTCTTAACATTTTTATACATCTCGATCTCCATAAGTCAGATTTATTAAAAGCCCTATCTACACCTATACAAAGTAGACTACACCATTACTGTGTAATAAGGAGGACCCACCAGTTAAGTCAGCATTATGAGGTTGGGTAAGATAAGGAAAAGAAAGCAAGTTAAAGAAGTTTCTTTCCTCCCTTCATCAAAAGTTCCTATCCAAAAAAAGAAACTCACCGCTGTCTGGGCTGTGATGTGTGTACAGCCCACTATTTTAGCACCAGCCAAGGGTTTCTCCCCCTGAGCACGTTTCCTGAGTGAAATCAGAGCAGACATGTCTGTGAAAGAACAGAGGCTTTGAGCTAGGGCTGCACTAGCAGTGGTGCCGTCTCCCACCCGTCACCCGTAGGGCTGTCAGGATCTGTAGACATGCTGAGATGAGGTGGAAAATCCCTAAGCCAACGATCACTGTCAGCTTCAACACAGAGCATCAGTGGGGAGCTGTCATCCACAATAGCAGAGGGTTTCTCTCTTCCTCTACCATTCAGTTGTGTATTCAGAGGACTGAATAGTGAATGAAGTCAGTTTTCAAACGGATTGAAGTCGAGGGTAAGTTTCATTTGGGGGGACAGGAAAGTAGTTATGGCTAATGAGCTCCCAGACATAATCAGACCAGGAAGACGACTTCCCCCTCAGTAGAAGTCAACTGCTCCTGTTTTTTTTTTTTTTTTTATGCCATCTTCACCCAATTCTGTTCAGTTTCTGCACTCCCTCCCAGCATTGGACATGCCTTCAACATGAAAGCAATGTGAGAGGAGACATCTTACCCTGAGGGGGGAGGTGGAAAAACCAAGACTCTGGTTGTCAGTCACTTTTCCTCATGTTCCAGCAAAGGAACAAACCAAGACCCCATGTCACCACATCCTTAGCTGAAACCTCAGGGCTGCTGCCTCTGGGAAACCTGGGGCTCTGGGCCTGGCAGCTATGGTAGGGCCCCATGGTACCAACCACCACGCCATGGTCCAGAACACGCCAACTCTGCATGTGCACCTGACTGTGGTGGCATGGGGAAGGAAAACAGAAACTACTCTGGAATTACCACATGCTGAGCACAGGAAGTAGGGAAAACAACAAGATCTGCAGCTGAAGCTCCCTGAGAGAGACCTGTTTACACAAAACCCTACGTTCTGAATTTTCCCACTCCCCTTTGCTCCTGTACCCACTCCCCTTTTTTACCTTGCTCTGCAATCTCAATCTCCCGGCGTCCAAATTCTGCCTGCTTGATGTTCTTCACACAGAAATTGCTGCTGCCCTTGGAGTTGGTTTGCTGCTTTTCTCGGGGGGAAACCTCATCATCAGAGCTATCTGTGTAGGATGCAGCTAGAGCCAGGAAAGAAAGAAATGGGGCTAGAGAAACCTCGCTGGCCCCAGCTCCACAGAGGACAGCCCCAAGGACCCCTCACTTGGGTCAAGCTGACACTCTTAACTGCGGCCATCTTCTATGTCACTGTCACGTCCACTCCACGTCCGCTCGAGGCAAGAGTAAACTGCAGTGTCGTGGCCCTTTCACTCGTCCTGATAATCCTGTGTCATTAGTGCCTGTGCTAAGCAGCTCTTAAACCTGCATCAGGTCCATGGAACACCAGATAAGGGAATTTGAACAAATTCCCAATTCAACCTGGATTGGAACCAGTCACAGCAAAAATGGAGTAACTGAGGGCAGACAAGGAATGCTGTTTCTTGTCTCTGGCATCTAAACATCTATTAGCAGCATGTGGAAGGCTCGGTGAAGTACAGATGCCTCGGTCCCACCTTCAGAAACGTCCAGCAGGACCAAGAACTAGCATTTCTAACAAGTTCTCAGATGTTGCTTGCTGACCCTGCTAATCAGGGGCCACATTGTGCGCCAATAACAAGGGTGACTGACAGGATAATTCTCACATGGGGATTTACAACAGGAATAGAGATAGAAAGAAACAACACAAAAGTTAAACAGCTCCATTTCTACTGTCAGCCCTAAAGTTCACTCAAGAGGTACACCTTTAAAACACAACTTAAAGTCAAAATTAAATGTTCCTTCAGAGATATGCGAGGGAATAAGTAACATGGAGTCTCCCTCTCAAATTACTTTTCTCCTCCCTGGGCTGCGTATTTTCCTGATCACGGTGACTTCTGATGCATCAGGTCTCTCTCTGCTGGTTACTCACCGCCTTTTGTTCGAGTAAGACACCTTTTCACTAATGATAGCCAGGATACTCGGAGCCTTTTCTTGCTCGTTTATAGGGAAACCTGTATGTTCATTTATTTCCGCACATAACCCCACACGCTGTTTGCTCTCACCTGCCTGCCTTGTCTCTGTTGGTGCCAGTGACACAGGGCAGAGGCAAAGGTGGCTTTTTTGTTGTTCTTTTTATCATTCCTTTTGTTTGAAGGCCAGCCTTTAATAGTAATAAAAGGCAAATGATATTCAAGCAAAAGACAGTATATGGCTCTTGGTATAAATCCGTTTGCTGACACTGACAGCAATCCGTGACTTTGGGGCAAGCCCCTTCCTCTTTTAATAATGTTTCTTCAGTGAAACAATGAAATGGCTGGCTTAGATGTTCCGCTTCTAACCCAACTGTACTGAAATACTAAAATTCCACCTTTTCCCATGATAATTAGGTAGGGAGAACAGAATTCAAAGCAGAAAAGAGACCACTGATAGAGCTGAGGTAAGAGAGGACACCTGAAGGGGAGGGCAGCTGGGCCACATGACAGGAGTCTGGCTCTTCCCCACTGGGCAGTCACAGAGGAGGCACTTTAATATTAAGGGCAACCTAGTAAATAAAAGGAGCCAAAACATGAAATTTTTTAAGATTTATTTTTATTTGCTTATACATACAAGAACTGGGGTGTAGACCAGAGGTGCGGGGGTGGAGGGGGAGAGCATTCACTTCAGACACAGTGGGGAGCAGAACAGGCAGACCTGAAATATGCGGCCGAGGGGGGCAGCGGGCCAATACTGGAGAGGTATGCTGTGTCATGCTGGGTTAGCTCCCTGGCTGGGGACTGAACTTACGCCACAACTGGTGATGGCTTTATAGTGCTGTGACTTTAGCCTCTGGTCCACCAGGGAGGCCCCAAAATATGAATTTTTATTGTTACAAATTCAAGCAGGTTGACAAGAAAGAAAAAGAGGTGGCAGGGTGTATCTCAAACAAAGATCTCAGAAATTACGCTTCCAAAGTACACCTCTTTGTCAAGGCCAGTTGTGTCAGCCAAAATAACATTGATTTCTCCCTTTGTAATGTGGACAGATAAATGTGGAAATGGGAAGGTGCCCAGTTCAGCAAGCAGGCACTGGCCGGCATCCACACGCAGAGCAGAGACCACACAGAGAGGGTCAAGGGAAGACAATCTCAGATCGACAGAGGCTTCCCCAGTTATTTAAAAGCCTGGCTGGGAGAACTCCCACGTCCCAAGCAGTAATCCTCAGCTTTCAGCACAAATGTGGGCCACCCTGACCCAAGTATGATTCTAGATAAGGAGCACTGGACAAAGAAGCAGGTCATAAAGGACCTGCTATCCACACTTACCTGAACTGTAGCTATCAGTGGAGGACTGAGAGATGGAACGAGACAAAGATCTTCGACCAGTCTTGGTGGGGAATTTGGTGAATTCTTGCATGTCATCAGCAAATTGAATTTGCTGTAAGAGAAAAAGTTGACGACTTACAAATATTCTGTGACACTATTTTTTAAAAAGATTTAATTATGCATACAGAGCTGGGTGGGGTACAGGCCAGAGGTGCTAGGGGGTGAGAGGATTCACCAGAGACAGAGTGGGGAGCAGAACTGGCAGATCAACAAAGTACACTGCTGAGGGGAGCAGCGGGCGGGTCAGGAGAGGTCTGCCATGCCATGTGTGTCACCTCCACCTCCCTGGCCTAGGATCGAACTTGTGCTGCAGTGGCTGTGGCTAGCTTCATAGTGCTGTGCTTTAACCTGTTTCACCGCCAGGGAGGGCCTGATGTTATTTGTAAGGTCATAAACTGTGTTTCTTGTAAGTCAACGTTATGTGATGCCTACGGCCAACAGCTCTCCTACCAGAAACAAGGTGGGCAGAGGCTACACTAAATCCTCCCCAAATGCCACCAACTGTCTCTTTTAATTGTTTTAGCAGGATTTTGGGGAGCGGGGGTGGGGGGTTGGAAGGCAAGACCAAACTTCTTAAAAATAATATAATAGTTTATTTTTACATCATTTTGTGCCTTTTCCCAGCTCAACTGTAATCCCTATGGGCTTCCCATCACCAAATCTAAGACCGAACTTTTTAAAGTAGTTGTCCAATTTCAACAATCTGCCAGTTTTCTTCTAACCTTCCTCCTAACTATTCAAAAGCAGGTCCAATCTGCTTTTTTTCAGAATATTCTCCTACAGTAAATTCTTATCCTGATGCTAGCAATGGTCTTGTTATTTGCAAGAACTATGAAAAGATGCCTAGAAATGGTGATGGGCACGAGGGTACCAATAGAGCTCAATCATACACTTCATATACAATGTAGTATCCCCAGAATACACCTCTACATACAGTAAAATATCACAATATACTAAGGAAAGAGAAATTGAATAACATACATACACCGTAATAAATTTCAATTAACTAGGAGTAATGTGAATGAAGGAGAAAATGTCATAGTAAGTTCAAATAATTGACAATATTAGTTACAAACAAATTAATGGCTGTTTCTAAAGTACCTGAAAACACTTTCTTTTGTTAAAAGGCTTAAACTTTTCTTCTGAATTCCTGCTTAAATTCAGGTAAGCCTTTTTTTTTTTTTTAAATAGAAACTTCAGCCTCTTGAAAAAGAGTGGTTTGAAAATCTGAATTGAGTTCTTCCTTACCATTTGACTAAATATAAAAATGTTCTAATGGAGAATCTATTAAGCTAAGTCCTAGCAAATATCCCTGGAAACATAAGCTACTACTGTGTAAGGTCTTCCTGATAACCCTAGTAATGTGGTTAGTCACTTTGAAGCCAGGTGTGGTCTATTTCATGTGCACTACAGCTTGAAATGTAACAATCAGGTTTATAAGCAGAGTTTGGAACAGGCAGCTTATAGAAACAAAATTGAAACCCGAATTAGCAGGATTCTATAGGCAATGAAATAGTAATCAGGAGACCATAGAGCTATGTTTTCACACCAATAATGAAAACAGAAAATAGCCATGCATTAAAAGCCACGTATACACTACTTTTTGGGTAGAAGAGCTAACAAAGACACTTTACAGATAGGAAACCCAAATCAAAACCACAGTGAGATACATACCATCCCACACCAGGAAGAATGGATCATATTTAAAAAGCTGGCAACAACCAATGCTGACAAGGATGTGGAAAGGAAAACTGGCCCAGCCCTATGCGAAACTGTGTGGAGATTCCTCAAATTATTAAAAATGAAGCTACCATATGACCCAGCCATGCCACTCCTAGAAATCTACCTAAAGGATACAAAAACATTAATTAGAAAGGAAACTTGCAAGCCGATGTTTACTACAGCACTACTTACAGTAGATAAAACATGAAAACAACCTGTCCAAAAACAGATAACTGGCTCAAGAAGATGTGATAGATATACAGAATGAAATAGAATTCAGCAATCAAAAATGGTAGTATCAAATGATTTCACTTACAGGAGGAATAAAGGAAATCCAAACAAAGGGTCAAAAAAAAAAAAAAAGAGAGAGAGAGAAAACCTACAGGTAAACTACAGCTGAGGCATAAGCAGGGAAAGAGGAGAGAGATGAGTCAGAACGGGGAAAAGTACAAGACACTATGGTAATAGTTCACAGTGATGTGGTGATGGGAAACATGGAGACTACACACAAGTATACAAAATTGTACAAAAATAAACAACAATGTAAGAAAATTAAAATAAAAACCCAATCCAAAGCTTTTACAAATCTTCCAGAATAAAATAACACAAAATAAAATCTCCCCTTGGCTCAACATCTAACTGGTCACGTTTTGTTTTGTTTTGTTTTTTAAAAGATTTATTTATTTATGCATAAAGAACTGGGGTACAGGCCAGAGGTGCAGGGGCAGTGAGAGATTCACCAGAGACAGAGTGGGGAGCAGAATAGGCAGATCGACGAAGTACCCCGCTGAGGGGAGCAGTGGGCGGGTCAGAAGAGGTCTGCCATGCTGTGTGGGTCAGCTCCGGGGCAGGGATCAAAGGCACAAGAAGCAAACTGACATAGTGGCAGTGCTGTGCTTTAACCCTGTGCCACCAGGGAGGGCCTCAAGTTTTTTTTCTTCAGGCCACTCTTTCTTCTGTAAGCTCAAATGATCGCATTTCAAAAATAAATAATGCTCAAGTTAAACTACGTATACTGCAACAGAATTGGCTTAACAATTTATCTTGGTACATCCAAAGCAGCTTAATTTAGGTGTCAAATTTTATAAACAGCCTCACTGTCAAAATCATCGATGCCTTTTAAAAAGTATTTCTAAGGCTACACTCAGCATTTGCCCTTCTAGATAGGATTTCCCACTGCAGGTTCATGTGATTTCTGCAGTGTGCAAAGCCAGTTGGACTGAAGAGATTAATCCCGGACTAAGCTAATGACTTTCAGGCCAAAGTGCAGTCATTCAGGCGGTAGAAACAGTAGCCAAAGAGACCACCAAGGCCTTTTAACAGTGTCCAGTGACAGCCTTTCTCCAACAGCTCACTACCTCTGGTGAGAGCAGCTTACTCAAAAGCTGCACTCTTCTCAGGGCTGGTAAGATTCCCTCCCCTGTTGCCTCATCTTTCTACAAATGCTTCCGGTTTATTTCCAACCACTACCTACGTGGGGGTGAGTGAGGCAACCGCAGTAACACTTTAAAGCAGCTGAAGTAAAAACAGTGGTGCACAGTGACAACCTAGGAAGTGAGTTAGTAGTCACAATCCCATCTCTTACTACTGTTGCTCATCAGTAGCCAAAAGCTTAGCAAAATCTTTCCTGTCTAAAAATATTAAGACTGTTAAAGGCTGCTCATTAGTAAGTCCCCACTACCCCATCTCTCAAATGACAACTGGGGTCCATATTTGAAGTGGGCAGAATGCTAACACAAATTATGACACAGAAGATGAGTCCATCCTTGCCCATCGTTTACATCCTCGCCACCAGTAAGGAGGTCTAGCTACCAGAGATGCTGAATAACTTTGTCTTCTTTGCAACCCCACCTACAGGCTGAAGAGAATGTGTCCCACATGCTACTGTGGAGTGCAGCTGCCCCAATGGCCCCAAGGGTTGGCTTCTCCAGAGCTAGCTGCTCTGTCTTCCTCCTGGAGTGATCACCTTCACACTGTAGATACACCTGTCGCTGAGAGCAAGCTTACTCTCGAATGAAGCTAGGTATCAACAGTCTTTTCATTGGTTTGAACTCACAGCATTTAAGCCAAATATGATTAAAATCTAAAAATGACTGCAAAAGTTTCTGTTTGCATTACTTATTATCATGCCTTCTCCCATTTATTAAATCTTAATTGGTATGCCCTTTGTGTGGCGTGTCCTCAAATTGAGATCTGTCAGGAATGCTAGGTCTACATATGACATAGGATGGGGGAAAGAGGGAGGGAAAAGGAGGTAAGTGAAGTCCAAAAAATTCTGACACCCAGAAAGTCCTAGGTCAAAGAACTGTGTTTGTATACAGCCTCACCCACAACAAGCACACCAGTGTTCCGTTCTTGCATTACTACCACATCTAAGGATAGAAGGTCAGACTGACTCATTCTTCAAACAGCACGTCCAAATACAGAAGTCCACTTGCTGTGTCTTAGAAACTCAAATGCCAGGCCAATTTAATATGCAATTATTTCAAAGCACTTCTTCAAATAGCTGTGGATTCAATGATTGATTTTCTTCCACGTGATACTAAAAATAAAGAAAAGCTCTACCAAAGAGATAATCTAGGGCTTGGAATCCCCCAACCTAGTGATAAGTCTGGTGGAAAGTGGTGAAAGAATTACTGGACATTAGCCACAAAAGTGGATCACAGTTAGCCCAAAACAGTCACAAGTCACTTGAAAAGAAAAACTGTACTACTCATTCAGTTGATCCCAGCTGGTAATTTTTTTACCATCAGAAGTTGAGTATACTTTCACACACAGCTCTCTCCTCAGCTGTTAAACAGCTTCACTAAACTTCCTCCCCAGGCCCCACTCAATTTGCCTTCTAGTTCCTGAATCAGGAAGAATTAAAAGCCACCGGAATTCTATGATGCGGTCACCAGTGAATGGTGACAGGATACTGCTAGTGAAGCAGCGTGGGCACATTTGGGAGGCACCAAGAGCAACTAGAGCTGTTCCAGAAAGATCTATTAAAGAAAATAGGTTCCTTAAAATCTGTAGTTGTTGTGAACCATAGTGTAATGATAATGTAAATGGCTTTTACTGCTTCTTTGGACATGTGCTGGGCCTGGAAGACTTCAGCCATATCTGAATATCGCAGGTCTCCAAAAAATCAGGTTAGGTAAGACATCTTATTAAGCCTGTTATTCACATGCGTATCTAACAAGCGTTTCATTGCCTCAAAAAGGCATCCTCCTAAGGGTGAAAAACTAGACTCAAAGGTAAACAGCAATTAGGAAAACAAATCACTAAGAAAGTATAGCTTGGAGTGAGCAGAGGGATGGGTCTCTCATTGCTGAGGGTTATCTGACA